TGATTTCCATGGTGCAATTCATATTAGTAGATTTGTTTTTCTTCATAATCTTCATAATCTCCACTTTTCCTCTCAATCGGGACTGGCTGCTCAATGAAATAACTGTACTAGCTGCAAATTGTCGTTCAAGAACCTCTCTTGGAACTTCTGCAGACGACAAATTCACCGTCACATTAAATTTCCTCGTCGACCGAGCTTTCGCTCTTGCATTAGGAATACTCGCCTCTCCAACTTTTATGTTCTCGTAATAGAATTCAATAGTGCTATTCTGATACTTGTAGCGACCAAAATTTGGGTTCTTGACGCCAAGTTCAGCGATCATATTAATGTCGAAGGAGGGATTCGTGTTTAATGTTGTTACATCAAAAGTGCCGAAAGAAGCAGATCGGACTCGGAATTTGGGAGTTTTCACTTTCATTACTGTCAGTGCAAAGATTAGAATGATTCCTGCCTGAAACACGACGAAGGCTGCGACGTACATGAAACATTTCATACGTTTCTTGCGGCGGCCATCCTTTTCCGCCACCATCGCCACCTCTTCATCGACTCGACCGTAAGGATTCACATGTGATGAAGTGTAGGCGCTTTCTACTGCTTCTGGCTTATTTTCCGCCATGCTTAAGTCTTAAGCTTCTGGCTCAAAATATCTTAGGACTGAAAGAAAATGCTAGTAATGATGAGATATTTTGGTAGATACATGCATGTATATATATAAGTTGATTGAGGGGGTGGGTGGGGTAGGGGGTGTTCCACCATTGTTGAAGTTTCTGCACGAACAAGGAGTGATATGACAATTTCTACGTACGTACCTTAACGCGTTTGAGGGAGTTCTATTTCTTGATTTTCTAGATGTTATTCCGAAAAATTGGATTTTCTTGACATTTTGTCTTGACTTAGAAATATATTTGGTGATGTATCAACTTGTTATCCCTCTCTCTCTCTCTCTCTCACACACACACACATATATATATACATACATCTCTCTCATCTCCATTTCTCTCATTAAAATTGAACTGTATAATCTCATTATTCTAAATATGCTACTACATCACTAATATTACATCATCATAATGATAAATAACATTATTCCACTGCAATAGCCATGTCAAACAGTCCTTGAAGGGTGGATGGCCACTTCAACTGGCGAGAAAGGAGATCCCATAGAGTCCATTGGTATCTTTGAAAGATTGGGCAGGGACGGAGACCTGCCAAAATGACCCCCTCGCAATCTCAACATTCACCATAGCTAGTATAGCAAGGATCGTCTAATACAGGACAAAGAGCCTCACGCTCACAAACAAAAGTACAACAACAATGAAAGCAATCATTTTAATAGTATTTTCACAATTTAAAATCATTCATAAAAATTTTTTTAAAAATCATCTATTCAAGCTCAACACTGCAACAGTGTTTTTCAAAATTAAAAGTCCATGAATTAGCCATTTACCATGATCAACCATGTATTAATTGAAAAGAAAAACGAATAATGACACTGTAATATGAGTATTATAATCCTAATTAAACATAACCATAAACATTTCCTCTCTAAATGACTTAGCTAGAGGAAATTAGAAACGATATAAAGTACAAGATTGGACTAGACGAATCTTGATTTCTTCTTCAAAACTGGAAGCCATAATAATTTAATTGTAAAATGGAAAAAATCAAAAAAAAAAAAATAATAAGGTGAATTTCATTTGCGGTCACTAAACTTCCAATGAAATCTCTATTAGGTCACTTAAATTTTAATGTATCAATTGGGCCATTAAACTTCAGTTGAGTTTCACTAAACCTCATTTTTTTAGCTTCGAATGTCACACATAATCTCCAATATTTGTGGAATTTGCTTATTTGACAGTCATGCCGCAATATATATTCATAATTGATACATGTTAAGTCGCATACCAACTTACTACTATGTGATGTCATATTAATATTGAATAAAAAAGTCATGTCTTGTATCCTTTTTAATCTAAAGATATACTATAACCCTTGTTTTGCCATTTTCATTTAAGGGTGCCATATAACGATTACTTAAAAGCTTGGTTACATATGATTGTCAACTAGACAGTTTCCGTCAATTTTGGTAGGAAAGGTGGCAAAATGTGACAAAGTCGTGAACTTTTAAATAGAATAAAGTTCTCTGTCTCAATTGAAATAAATTAAAGTTTAATGATCCAATTGAAATTTCGCCGAAAGTCCTCCAAGAACTAATTTTGCTAAAGAAATTTTTATTATTTTCGCTAGATTTATTATTTGTCATTTGAATGTATCAACAAATAATACGCCTTGATAAGTACATAAAATAAACTTGTAAACAAGTACTGGAAGATATATTTCGACATGAAGTATGCATCCGTAGCTACATATATATTCCAGCATTAAGTCGTTGATGACAAGAAGAAAAACTTTCAATTTGGTTTTCTTATATATATATATAGTTCACAATTCTTTAGCCAAAAAAAAAATTAGTCCCTTGCATTTTAGTACCTAACTTGTTTTCTCAAGCCTTTAGTAAAGCATTCAAACAGAGGAAAAAAGAGTTCTAGAAAGATAAATATTTGTTCCCATATGTAAGCAGCTCCATTAATAAAGAAAATCCACTAAACCATCAAAGATACAAAAATTTTCCTAACATCAAATTGGACAACCGACTTTTGAATAAGAAGCTGGAATGAATGAAAGACTATGATTGAAAACTTTTTGATCGTCATATGTTGTTTGTTATCCAATTAACACTATCGAAAAATGTTGGTCACAACGTGGCGACAAAAAAATAACAACGGATTTGATGAAAATATTGTCCAATATGTATGAGAAGCCCTCAAAGTTTAATAAGGTACACCACATGAAAAATTGTTTAACTTGAAGTTGGTTGAAGGCGATCTAGCAGTAAAGCATCTTAATAAATTCAATACAATTGTCAATAAGTTGGTCTTGATTTAGATTTAAATTTGATAATGACGTATGTACCCTAATCCTATTGACATTACTGTCGAATAGTTGAGAGCTGCAGTTAGTAACTCTATAGGTAATGCGAAACTAAATTAAGTGATATTTGGGACACTATTTTTTGTTGAGAAAGTCCGTAAAAGAGATTTTGAAGAAGTTATGGGTTTGTTTGGAAAATTTATATGGTAAAACATGTACCTAAACTGATGCTTAATCTGATCTCAATTGGACAACTAAAATATGAAGGTCATAATGTGACTTTCGGTGGTGTGTTTGGTAAGTAACTAAGGGAGCCATGATTTTTGTATGAGGAAGTATAATTGTAGCTCTTTGTATATATTTCAATTGTAGAGATAGGTTGTAGTTGTTGATTCGAGTGTTAATTTTGATTTGTGATACTGCAAGTTGGAACACACGGGTAAAAAAGGAATGAAAGTGCTTTAGTCTAAAGGGAAGCTACCAGGATTGAAATTTGTTGAACAAAATTTATGTGAAGATTGTATTTTTGACAAGCAAAAAGAGATTATCTTTGCTAATATTGAAAGGGAGATAAAAATTACAAAATTAAGTTGATTCAAATGAATGTGTGGGGACATTATACTATTACTTCCCTTGCAGGTTCTAATTATTATTTGACATTTATTGATAACTCAAGTACCAAAGTATTTAGGATTGTGNTACATGTACACTCCATGGTTTACACAATCCTTTACACCCCTCTCACATGGAGGGGGGACCCACGAATATTTTATTGTGTGTGGGCCCCCCTCCATGTGAGGGGGGTGTAAAGGATTATGTACATTTAGCATAATCCAAGTATTTATGTCCTAAAGAATAAATATGATGTCTTTGGTGCATTCAAGAGATGGGAAGCGATGATTGAAAATAAGACATATTTGAAGGTTAAGTGATTGCAGTCAGATAATAGGTAAGAATATGTTGATGATGATTTCAAGAAGTATTGTGCTATTAATGGAATCAAGAATGGTGTTGTTGAAAGGATGAATATGATTTTAAACGTACGTGCTAGAAATATGAGATTGCATCCTGGGTTACCAAAGATTTTCTAGATTGAGGTTGTGAGAGGAGCAGCTTATGTGATAAACTAAGATCTTTCAACATCATTAGACGCAGAATAGCAGAAGAGGTTTGAAGCAGTAAAGAAGTAAGCCTTTCACATTTGAAAGTATTTGGTTGTATTTTGTATGTTCATATTGATTTTGCTGTGAGAAGCGAGTTTGATACTAAATTTGACCTTTTAACAGTAAATCCCACACTTTACGTCCAAAAATTCATACAAACATTCGAACGACTTGGGACTCCGGTGCTAGAAATCAAAGCTTTGAAACCTCACGTTCAATTTTTCCTTACTTGTTTTCAACAAACTAATGATGAAATGGTCAATTTATTCAAAATTAGATCTTTTAACAATCAATTTGAATTTTTTTTTCCCCAAAACGGACCATTGGCACATATGTTTAAAATGTATATAACTTCGAGTGGTAAAATTAAAGGTTCCAAACTTCATCATCACAATATTCAAAGGTTCAGGAATCCAATCGTTTTCACGAACTTGATGCATAAAAAATAAAAAATAAAAAGTCAACTAATTCAAACATGTAACATCGGGTGCACTATTCGTACTTTGTTCACATAGTCAAACAGTTGACTATTGACCAAAAAGTTTATATTACTAAATTATATAAATATAATTAAATAGTTTGTCTATTTTACAGTAAAATTCAATTCTCTTACACTAAATTGTGTACAAAAAGTAGTATTTTGAGTTCAAGTCACAAGTGACTCGAGTTTTCTTTAAAGAAGATTGTTAAAAATATAAATATTTAATTAACAAAAATAATTAAAAAAAAAAACAAGAATATGTAAAATAATTTCATCATATATGAAAATCACACAATATTCCAATAGCAATACAGAAAACAAAAATAAAAATACAAAGAATTGGAAATAATAACATATTTAAGAACTCAGAAGAAACATATATATATATATATATATATGGATCAAACATATAAATTAAGCTCCACTCATCTGCAAGACAAATTCCCAAGCTGCCTTGAAGAAGTATTGATTTCCATGGTGCAATTCATATTAGTAGATTTGTTTTTCTTCATAATCTTCATAATCTCCACTTTTCCTCTCAATATGGACTGGCTGCTCAATGAAATAACTGTACTAGCTGCAAATTGTCGTTCAAGAACCTCTCTTGGAACTTCTGCAGACGACAAATTCACCGTCACATTAAATTTCCTCGTCGACCGAGCTTTCGCTCTTGCATTAGGAATACTCGCCTCTCCAACTTTTATGTTCTCGTAATAGAATTCAATCGTGCTATTCTGATACTTGTAGCGACCAAAATTAGTGTTCTTGACGCCAAGTTCAGCGATCATATTAATGTCGAAGGAGGGATTCGTGTTTAATGTTGTTACATCAAAAGTGCCGAAAGAAGCAGATTGGACTCGGAATTTGGGAGTTTTCACTTTCATTACAGTCAGTGCGAAGATTAGAATGATTCCTGCCTGAAACACGACGAAGGCTGCGACGTACATGAAACATTTCATCCGTTTCTTGCGGCGGCCATCCTTTTCCGCCACCATCGCCACCTCTTCATCGACTCGACCGTAAGGATTCACATGTGATGAAGCGTAGGCGTTTTCTACTGCTGCTGGCTTATTTTCTGCCATTCTTAAGTCTTAAGCTTCAGGCTCAAAATATCTTAGGACGGAAAGAAAATGCTAGTAATGATGAGATATTTTGGTAGATACATACATGTCTATATATATGTTGATTGAGGAGGGGTGGGTGGGGTTAGGGGGTGTTCCACCATTGTTGAAGTTTCTGCATGAACAAGGAGTGAAATGAGAATTTCTACGTACGTGCCCTAACGCGTTTGAGGGAGTTCTATTTCTTGATTTTCTAGATGTTATTCGGAAAAATCGGATTTTCTTGACATTTTGTCTTGACTTAGAAATATCTTTGGTGCTATCCACTGTCCGATTTCTACAAGAAGTTAGATTTTTTTTTTTGCAGTGGGCCCCGGCCGTCACTTAGACATATAGGTTGTTATGTGTTAATTTGACTTTGATAGATTTGACTGAATGCAATTCATATTACTATTCACAAGAATTGTTCTTTTTCATCCTTCAACACCAAGCCAGTCTTCATTTGTACGTACAGTACGGTGAAAACCATAAGTATAATTATTTGAATCATGCTGCATGTAAATCTAAGTGGACACTAGTTTGACACGTGCGGGAGTGAATTGGCAGATTTCTAGAAATTGATTTTAATAATATTTTTCTTTTTGTCAAATAATGACCAAATTTTTAAAACATAAGGAGTGTCAATCAGGGTCTATACTATGTACGCCTAGCTTAATTCTAATTATTTACCAATATTTTCTAAGTCGTAAAGTTAATTAATTAGAAATTCGAACAGGTCAGTTTAGATAGACTTCCTGTCGTGGCTCCTCCTCCTCCTCTCGATCGAAAATGAGAGAGAGGAGTGAGAAATGATTTTTGTTTAATTTGATTTTGGAAAATTGTGCCCTAAACCTTAAGTTTAAAATTTGTTTTATTTCAATCCCTAAATTGTTTTTATTTTAGCCCTTAAGTTTAAGTGTTTTAATTTCAGCCATTACATTTCTTATTTTCAGTTTAAAAGTTATT